GCAGGAACAAGGAGATACATTAACGTTATTAGCGGAAGCGCAGGCCATGCCACCTCCTTTTCACAGGTGAGGGACTGCCGCTACCTCAAATTCGCTGTATTTAACATTTAAGTGTTAATTACACATATCGACAAAATTTTGAACCAAAGTTAAACTTTACTTTCTCGAAAATTTTTGATATACACTAAATTCAAATCTTATATCACAATTGCTTTTGAACGTACATAAGGTTTTTAAAATATTGTAACCTAAAAGTACACTTACATTTTTAAATTAGAATTTTTCAAAAACTCGATGTCTAAAAGCAATTCTAAGTTCAGATATAAATTCAGTGAGTTAAAAATTTTTGTGTAAGTATAGTTTGACTTTTGGTAAAAAAGTTTAGCAGATTTTGTCGGCCTGTGTTATTTTTTGCCTCTTATGCTTTTCAAAAAAGATAGAGAAATATAACAACTATTTCATCAAGGGAGTTCGTAAATATTCCCAAAATAACTTATTAATTCCGAAAATAATATTTATTAAACTCTAAGTTCAAACTTCGAATAGTGCCTAATGAAAATCCCCCAAAAACTATCTTATTTACATAATCGACTAACTAATCAGTAAAGTATCAACATAAATAAACTCCCATAATTTAAATAATCTTCCATTAATGATGATTAGTGCGAGAAAGTTTGAATTTTTGTTTGTTTCTGTCTCTCTTCTTCTTGATTAACAAAGTATATGAAATTGGTATCAATAGTATTGATATTGGTATTAATACAAAATAATAAACGAAAATTCATTGATCTTCCTCTGATCATTTATTAATTTACTTGCTTAACAAAAATGGAAGGAAATAAATGAAATTTATAAGCCCTCAAGTCTGAATCCGTTCTCTGGACGTATTATTGAAAACAATTCGAGTTAAACTAAGTGACGACACATAATACCATGTCACAATAGATAATACAAAAAGTCTGAAAATTTTTAAATATAAATCAGAAGCTACTGGGTTTAGTGAGTTTGTGACATTCTCCCCCGTCTCCTATAAATGTTACAATATATGTTAACATAAAATTTACCTATTAACTTCAAATTATCACATACCTTTAATTTCGATTAAGATCAAAAATGAATTTGCATGCAGTATATAGTTTGGTTTTATAGTAGAAAAATAACTCATTTTGTCAGAGATAAAACGTTACTACATCCTCCCATAAGAATATTTAATTTCTGAAAAATTGAAGAAATTCAATGAAGACAAGTAAAAGTAACATATTCTCAAGTTGAAACTGTTTTTTCTTCATTCATTATCATATTAAATAAAGTAAAGTCTTAAGTATAGTTTTTAACTAATTTCTTTTCTTTCTTTACTATAGCTATTTTCCTCTACTTGCATGTATTTTTTTGCATGCCTTTTAATTATATTGCACGTCAAAATTCATTGCTAATATTGGACATGAAATTACAGGTAAGCTATTTATATTATTATTCGTAATTATACAAACTTTAATCATATACATTATTTTCACAATTGTAAACATTTAAATTGTAATAAATTTTCAATATTTTTTAATTTTAAGTTAAATTTAAGTGAAATGATTGAATTTTATTTGATAAAAAGTAAAAAAAAATTATTTAGCGAGTGATTTTAATATTATTACTATTGTAATGATATGATTATTTAAGCCAAAGGATCCGTTTGCCGGATGGGAGGTAGAGTCCTAGTTGTTCAACTAATTCTTATATGTGTCATGAAGCGCCATCTATGTTAGTATTATTTTTTTTATTGCGTAAATTAGCGGAAAAATCGTGAATGTGCGAAATCGATCGGGAACCATAACTGTATTTAAATTTCGGTAATCACCGCATATTTGATAATCTCCATTTTTTTCCTTCTTTTATTAAAATTGGAGATGTCCACTTCGCGCTTGATGCTCTACATTTCCCTTCTTTAATCATCGACTGAAATTTCATTTTTGCCCAGCTTTTAAAGTATGTTTGCTTAAAGAAATCTGTCAATTTTGTTTGTTTTGTTATTTTAAAATTCTCAACTTTTTTTTCAAGATCATAGATTTTATGAAAGAGAGACTGATTAACATTTGTAGAAGATTCAAAAAGTCTAACGCTTTGAAAGCTGATTACTAGAGGTGTGCAAAAAGCTCGAATTTCGAGTTGAATCCGAGCTTGACTCGAGGTATCGAGTACTCGAGTGAATTTGAGTACTCGCATTAATTTTTCTTTCTGTTGACGTCTAGTTACTAAATCGCAACGCTCTCTACATTAATGTCCTGGACTTTTTCCTGTCTGTATAAATATATAGGTACCTGTAAGATTTCGAAATCGCGTTTATCAGAAGGTATTCCAAATAATTTGTCTTAGATGTTAAAGTTAGCTATCAAGGCAAATGAAAACTAGAGCGTGCACTCTGAGGTAATTGACTCCAGGAAAAATTAGAAGGGAGTCAATTGGGTTGAAGGATAAGGTATGTACCGAATACTCTTGCCTGTCGTGATCTAGGAACATCTAAATACTTAGGAAACATATTAAACCAAGAGGTAGCCTGCGTCAATGAGGTACTCGTCTCTACATCCTCTCGCAAAAGCGTCTAAATGGAAGTCACATAGACTGTACATCTAGGTTTTTGGATACGTCGTCATATTCGCATTCTCTTACAGAAGCACCTACAGAGAAGTCGCCAGGATGATGTTCTAGGTATTCGGAAGGTACTTTCACAATCTCTCGCAGATGCTCCTTTAGAAAGTTCGTGAAGACGAGGAACAAGGAAGTCAAGGAGGTTCTCTAGACACGGAGACACCCACAGTCAAGAATACCTTCCTTTGCTCTACCTGTATTCAATTAGAAGCACATCAAACGAATACAGTTAGCGAGGAGTGAGATTGCTTCCAGTTAGCCAGAGTAGTTCCTCTAGACGAGTCGGAAGGCGACTGAGGAAAAAGGTGCGATTCGCCAGGTATATCCTTCGCTAGCAGCAAGATGACAGAGAGTTGTAGGAAGCGGATAACAGGTGAATCCTTATAGATTTCGTGACAGACAATACTCTACACTTTTCGCAGGAAGAATGAACTACATTTTTATATAATACTTTACCCGGACTCTGGACCATTAATATTATTCAATGATTGGAAAAGGAATTTAGAAAATAAAAGGGAAATTGACTTAAAACAATAATTAATAAATAGAAGTAACAGTCTTCGTAGTAATAAGTAATGAAAGCAATTGAATTTCCAAAAAATGAGAAAAAAACGCTTTTAAATTTGAATTAAATGTTACAGAGTGTTGATGATAATTTCATAGGCTTGGATTGGATATACCCTAACCAAAACCAAATGAAATGCTTAACCAGATTAAACTGGTTTATTGTGGACTGTTTCCAGATTACGTGACAAAAGTTCTCAACGTAATATTGATTAAGATTTTTCACCATGCTAACTCAAGATTTTTACTGATGGATTGCTGATTTTGTACATACACATTTTGAATAATTAGAAACTATCTTTTGACGAATTGTTGCGGTCTGATTGGAGATTGTCTATATTTAAATTTCGGATAACTTCGGCATTATTTTGGAATCAGATTTTTAATTTGATTAAATCCTAAATGTTGTAGAGTTTTTATAGTTAAACAGCAAAAATGTAATATTCGCCAACTATACAATATTCCGAAGCTTGCAGGTTAACTATTAATAATCTCGAATACCCAAAATCTCTAATACTGTCTGAGTCTAATTATTTGTAATAAGATGTAAATTAAAACAGATTTTGTTAAAAAACGATTGTAAATTACAATAATGGTTGCCCAGATTATGACCTATTAATATTATTCAAATACAGGAAAAGGAATTCAGGAAAGATGATGGAAATTAATTAGTTACTAAAGCAATTGAAAGAATTTCCAAAATAGTATAGGAAAGGGCGCTCTAAAATTTCAATTAAATGTTACCGACTGTGAATGATGCAAAAAATATATTGTTTTTTAATTCTATTAAGATAAAATAAATCAAAATTAATCCCATCTAGTTATTATAAATAAAAGTAGTAAAGTTGATTTCAAATTCAGTTAAAATTAACAATCTATCAATCTATTTTGTAGTTTATGTTTAATTTCGTAAAATTATTATATTCTATTTCAATTTACATCTTATTATTGCGTTTTTAATATATAGTGCAACCGAACATTCTCTCATTTGATTCAAAACGACACACATAAGAACAAATGCATATGGTTGTGCAGTTGCCTCATTCATTAAAATAAGTGCGCTTATTTGAAATTCACTTTTAGAATGTATAACTTTGATAATGATTATTTGTTACAAATCAAAGAAAAGTACCTGTTGCTTGAAGTAAGTTACGTCTTACTTCTGCCATTTAGCGAATTATAGTCCGTGACGCACTGCCCATATATTGTATTCACATGCTTATAAACATTCTAAATATAATTTGATCAACTTTAAATAATTTTTAATTAAATTTGTCATATTTTTAAAATTGAAAAAATACCAGTGGATGATTTTCTCAACGTTACTATCTTTTTTCACATACCTATTTATTTTATTAATTTTGTAACGTAATAAATTAATTTAATTAATAATTAAGGCATTGATGACCGAAATTTTAGAATTTTTTTTTCAAAGAAAATAAAATACAACCACAGAAAATTAAAAGGCATTAAAATAAGCTGCAACGCTTATTATTTTAATCCAATTTTGTTTATTATAATTGGTATCTTAAATTATACAAAAAAATTTTGTTTTGAAAATTTTAAAGTAAATTTAAATAATTTTTTATCTGGGTCAAAGTTGACGCCTTGAAAAATGCGTGCATATACAATGCCAATGGTAGTTTCCTTTAATATTGTTTGAAACAAAAAAATCAATCAATTCAAATATATATAAGGAAAGAGAAGTAAAGTTGAGAATAAAAAGATCATTCATTTTTATTTTTTTCAATTTTAATTAATCAAGTTAATTCTAATTTTTTGGATTATTTTTGTTATAGATGGTACAAATTCATCGATGGAACATCTCGTCGGCAGCCTGTACAGTTAAATGAACGAGTCAGACAAGTCAGCGGTACTCTTATTATTCGAGAAGCCCGAGTCGAAGATTCAGGAAAATATTTATGTATTGTAAACAATTCAGTTGGTGGAGAAAGTGTTGAAACTGTTTTGACTGTTACTGCACCACTTTCTGCAGAAATTGAACCTACAGTACAAACAGTTGACTTTGGAAGACCCGCTACGTTTACATGTAATGTCAAAGGAAATCCTGTAAAGACTATTTCATGGTTAAAAGATGGAAAACCACTTGGACATGAAGAACAAACTCTTCGAATTGAGAGTGTTAAAAAAGAAGACAAGGGCATGTATCAGTGCTTCATAAGAAATGATCAAGAGAGTGCTCAAGCTACTGCAGAATTAAAACTGGGAGGAAGATGTAAGTGGAATTATTTCGGTTGATAGTTTTATTATTTAAATAATTGGATTAAATTAATGATTGAGAAAATTCAACGGACATAAATTTTTTAGAAATTAATTTAATTTGTTTTTGTAGTCGAACCACCTCAAATTCGACAAGCCTTTTCTGAAGAAACTCTTCAACCTGGACCTAGTGTTTTTCTGAAATGTGTGGCTAGTGGAAATCCAACTCCTGAAATAACATGGGAATTAGACGGAAAACGTTTATCTAATACAGACAGACTTCAAGTTGGACAATACGTTACAGTCAACGGTGATGTCGTGTCAAATTTGAATATTTCTAGTATACATACTAACGATGGAGGACTTTACAAATGTATTGCTGCATCTAAGGTATGTAATATATGTGACGCTCCACAGTGAAAAGGACCTTAAGTCCTTTCACTAAGACCTTAAGACACCCACTCCTGTTGGGGTGTTATCGGGTCCAAGATGAATGTTACTAACCGTTCCGCCATTTCATTGGGCACTCTATTGTATGAGTGTATGTGACCTACCAGACCATCGGTGGGTGGAGCTTAGCTCGGAGACGGAACCTCTACGAGGTCCCCGCTGGGTACTTTGATTCCCTTCTTCCGCTTAAGTTCTACTTGCACGGGCGAAGTGAATCAATGCTAACCGTCACCTCCTGGAAGGGCACCCGGTCTTCTTCGCCGTTTTGGTTCTTAAGGACCTTACAACAGCAATTTTTCCCTCCTCTTTTCCCATGGTGTATCGGTAGCGAGGCGGCTTGCCAAATCGCCGCCGTTTCAACATGTCGGTAGTTCTTTCGTTAGGGGGTAGATATGCTTATTTTAAGATCGGGAGTTATAGTCCTTAAGGACCCAGGCATCCCAGTCGGCCTTGAGTACGACGATAAGCGCAATTCTGTAACTACTGCCACCACGAATCTATACCCAACTCCTGGCTGAGATCCGAAAATCTCCGGGGCACCAGACGCGTCCCGTGGTATCATTAGACTCAAGTACGAGTACCTTTTTCCAGTGTCCGGGCAACCGGAGGTCATACCATCGTCAGGTCACCAATTATAAATACGATTACATGTACTAAATACATTACTTTCAGCCATCTCTTACGACACGCGTCAACTAACGGGCGCCCTATTCTGATGACATAGCCTTAAAGTTTAACGTGCGAGAATTCCCTGTACTGGAATACCCATACAGACCCCGTGGCCGTGAGTCTAGATATGCCCGGCAATATCGATGAACCTGATGTTCTTGTCCTTTACCGATTCCCAAAAGACTGGCGAAGGACTTTGCAGACCCTTGATTGGGGCTGGTACTTTTTCAATCCCTAACGGCTATCCTTACTGCTTCCCCAGTTGAGACCGGAACTCACACGTTGAGACCTAGAGATTGGAACAACTCCGATGGCACTAAAGAATCGTCCACTCCGATCAGACTCTAACCCAAGTGATGTATACTGTTAACCACTACCACCAAGAGTTCAACCCAGTGATCCGGATGAAGATTAATCTTTACGAGCCCCGGATTCCCTTGATATCTTTTATATTTTGGGATAAATGCTACAAACAATAACATAGCTTAGTAGTTTTACGTGCGAGATCTCCCTGTACAGGTATTCCTACACGAACCTAATGGTCGCGAGATACGTTCGGCCTACGTCGATAAATCTGATGTTCTGGTCATCTACCGATTCCCACAAGGCTGGTAAGGGCCTTTTAGACCCTCGGTTTGGGCCGGAACCTTTCCAATCCCTAATGGCTATGTAGGCCGCCTCCCGAATTATGACCGCAACTCATACGTCGAGACCTAGAGAGATTGGAGCGACTCCGATGGCGCAAAAGCACCCAAAGAATCAAAACATTTTAGATGGCAAGCAAGAGAAAAGAGTATTTAATGTATCCTTTAACTTTAGGTTGGTGCGGCAGAACATTCTGCACGTTTGAATGTGTACGGATTGCCTTTCATTCGACACATGGATAAGAAAGCTATCGTCGCTGGTGAAACTCTTCGTGTAACATGTCCAGTTGCTGGTTATCCGATAGAGAGCATAGTCTGGGAGCGTGATACAAGGGTTCTTCCAATCAACAGAAAGCAAAAAGTATTCCCCAACGGAACATTAATCATTGAAAATGTTGAACGACAAAGTGATCAGGCAACGTATACGTGCGTCGCTCGTAATGCTCAAGGATACAGTGCAAGAGGAATGCTAGAAGTACAAGTAATGGGTAAGTTTCGCAAATAATTTTAATTTTTTAAATATACTTTAAATTTTATTATAATCAGTTCGACATGTACCGGTAATTGAGTAAATTTCATTATTTTACTGTCGTCAGTTAATGACATAAATCAAATTTCAAATATTTATTTAAAACTATTTGTGTAATGATATCACAATTATAATTTTATTAACAATTTCAAATGATTGAACTCTACTTTTAATAAACGTCCTTCTTCTATCATTCTGTTTCTGACTTCTTGTGGGTAAAATCTGTTTGTATTGTCCAATTATAATTTTAAAAAAATGTATAGTTTATTTTGTGAAATCATTTAAACTTGTTAATAAAATATTTATTCTGAACTCTCAATAAATATTTTAAAATAAATATTGGTAAATTTGAATACTTGATTCTAATTTAATAATTGGAAATTTTTGTTATGGCATTTGGTCATAAATGAAAAGTTATATATTTTTTGTGTCAGAAATTTATATTTTCTCTCTAAATTTCTTGTTTCTAATCTGCAGAAAACGTTTGAAGGAAATATTTTATATTATTGGTCTTAAATTCAGATCAATTTTTAAAAACTGGAATTAGTATTTGTAACACTGACCTTCATTTTTTAATTTGAAAAAATTTTTTTACTTTAAAAAAATAATATTTTTTTTCTGAAATTTAGACTAATGTATTTAGAATAAGATTAATATATGATTTATTTTCAGGTTGATTTAAATAATTGTAAGTTATTAAATTTTCATTAGGTTTTTTGGAGTCGACAAAATTAAATTTATTTCGACAATTTAATAATATTTAGACTAGAAAGGATGGGAAATGTATTTTCATGGAGATTCCTTTCGAAAATTACGTTGTTTAAACCTTTTGACAATCGTAATCTTTCAATTTAATAATTTGTCAGATATGAATTAATAGTGGAAAACATTTTTGCTATAATTATAATCAATTTTTAAAAATTGACCTTTTGATCTTCATCGTATTTATGAGTCTTGAATCAAAGATATTAACTATAAAAGATAATATATATTTAATTTTTTAAATATTCCAAGTTACATTCTTGTTGGATTTTATTCGAATTAGTTGGAGGCATATTTAATTATTGATTAGAGTTGTTTTATTCTTTGCATTGATCACTTTTGGTGATTAACTTTTTCTATTAGTATATTTTCAAGTTGGTATGGCGGTACTGACGAAGAGACTTTTGAAGATCGTCTTCTGAGTTTTTTTGTGAATTAACTCGAATAAATGAACAATGATTATATAAAAATTAATTAATATTGAGAATTAAAGTAATGATAAAATTATGCTTCTCTAGATGTATTCCTATAGTTAAATAGTTTATAAGGTAAAATACAGATTGAATTTTATTAATATTTAATAACAATAAATTGATAAATTGATTTACAAGCAAAAAGTGAATAGACTATTGGAAAGAGTAAGAACAATTCATTATTATGCATTAACTCAAAACGTTATAAACTGTATAGGTTTATATTTACCTTTTACAAAAGAATTTAGTATAAACTGAGAATTCAGAACTTGGAAACTTAAAAACTACTGACTTTTTTTATTAGATTCTTTAGTTTTTATATTGCTATCCCTTCTTAAATTTTTAAGTCGGGTGCAAAATTGGGGATGAATATTTTTTTAGAGTTGAAAGTTAGAAAATATTAATGATTGGATTTTATTGTAAGACAAAATAGGAAAACTTATCTAAAGAAAGATGTCATTGAGTTCTTCAGACTCAGCCCTTGCACTTTTATACATTAAATATTAAGATATCTAATAATTAAACAAACAATATAAGAATTGTTGTGAATAGAAAGGGGATACAAATTAAGAAAGTATTTCTGATACTGAATCCCTTGATATTCTGATAATAATTAATAATTTCCAATGGAATTGGAAAATTCGATTTTGACGGAGATTATTTTCGGAATCTCCAGGGAACATTCTTAGGTCTTTCTACAAGTCAAAATAGAAATGATTAAGAAAAAAATTAATTAAATATGATCTTAAGAATCAATACCGTTACGAAGAATTTGTTTCGCAGTTTCTTAAAGTGTATTCACTTTTGCTACCCTATAATAAATTGTTATTAAATCTTTATAGAATGCAATATATTATGTTTTATCACTTCTTATAACTTTAGCTGTTTGCTTAAAAACTGAAATTAAGCTAGTAAAAGTGAATTAAATCGTTCATTTTATTCAATTTAAAAATACGAAGAGAGAATGCAGTTAATATTTATTGCTTTCTTCAGTGCTTCCTATAATTGAAAAATTCGCATTCACAAAAGTACCAATGAACGCTGGTGAATTTGCGAATCTACAGTGTGCAGTAACGTCCGGAGATTTACCATTGAAGATACATTGGAATTATCCCGGACAAGAGATGGGTGGTGCTTCAGGTGTACTTGCAAGGAAGGTAGCTGACCGTATTAGTATGCTTATGATTCCTGTTATTGAAGCAAGACACGCTGGCGAATACATTTGTACTGCTCAAAATGCAGCGGGAAAATCTTTTGAATCAACGTTGCTCACTGTCAATGGTTTGCAGTTTTCATCTACTGCATTTTTCTAATGACAGTTTTCTGTTTCACTAATGCTCATTAATTGCGTGAATTTTCGAAAAACTTATTTCATATTTTCGTTTATTACTATGATTTATCATGATGATCATCCTTCTGCACGTAATTATTTTTATGTCTTTCTCGTATATTGTAGTTCGTTATTATGTTATTTTAAAAAATAACTTCCAATCCTTAAAATCATGTTTGATCCTTTATCCATAATATTTAAAAAAAACGAATATTAATTTTTTTTAAAGATTCTTGAAAAGTAGTTATCAAATAATGAGTAATTAAAGTTTCATCAGTCGACGATATCTTTTTTCTGTTTCCACATAGTTTTTTTTTAGAATCTTTGTTTTCATAGTTGGTCCACAGCAATTACCAATAGCTTTTTAATACCGAAATTGCAAATGAGGGAGATTCTATCAGTGGCTTGTTTGGTTTCAAAAGGCAATATGTCTATGGAACTCTCTTGGGATTTTTATTAAATAGGTTAATATTCTTGCTCTGTGTTTTTTTTTTAAGGTAGTTTGATGAAACTTTCAATGTATTTGTAAAGCAGAAAAGAAGGTAATGAAATGAAAACTACAATTCACCGCCATACCATATTTAGAGGAATATTATTTTTAATGACTACTTAATTAATTATCTTTGGGTAACTTTGACTTATTTCAAATTGATGAGAATATTTTTGTTGGCATATATATCTGTTATATATTATTGATTTCTATTTTTCATTGAAAGTTGCGCCACAGATTGCGCCTTTCATTATTAGTGATAAGCCAGCAAATTGGGGTGATACAGTTACGGCAACTTGCACCTTGATGAAGGGAGATCAACCTGTTGAATTTGAATGGTTTTTAAATGGACAGCCAATAATTGAAGACTATTCTGATATATCTATAGTGACAAATAAACGTGTCAGTTTATTGACAATTGACAATGTAAAAGCGAGTCACGCCGGAGAATATACTTGCAGTTCTAGTAATTCTGCTGGTGGAATAAGTTATTCCGCTTCATTAGCCGTGAATGGTACTAAAAAAAAAATGTGTTAATTTTGCCTCTTATATTAATTTCTTCACCCAAAAATATCCTAAACTCTGTTTCTTACAAGAGATCCTGATTTTTTTTCAAAAATTCTTAATGATTTGTTATTTAAAATTATTATTTTATCCGCGAATTTTTCTGTAAATTTTTTTTTGTTTTTTTGAAGTTGCTCCACAGATAGGTCCATTTGTTATAAGTAATGGACCGGCAAATTGGGGTGATACTATATCAGCAGCTTGTTCTATAATCAAAGGTGATTTACCTGTGGATGTAATTTGGCTCTTTAATGGAAAAGATATTCGTTTGCAAAATCCAGATGTAGAAATAAGTGCGATAACAAAACATATGAGTGCGATCAGTATAGAATCAATTACTGCCAGACATGCAGGAGAATATACTTGCGTGGCAGTAAATAGAGCCGGAAACGTCAGTCATTCGGCAGTTTTGACAGTGAATGGTATCAAAATTGCTTTCTATTTCGTGCACGCTAATTTGACGTATCACTTTACGCTTCTTTTCCAAATAACCCTGTGTTCTAATTGAATATTGTTGTCATTAATATATTTGCACTGTAACAATTATGCAAAAGTTAAAGGGGAAGGCAAACATATAAGCTAGTGCTCATATTTATTTTTTATTCCAGAATGTCCTTTTCCGAATAATCCTCTTTTCTACAGAAAAATCGTATCAGAATTTCTTCTATTTTAAAAGTTTGTAAAATTGCTATAGCTATTTATATCATTATCGATAAGACTTACATTAAGAGCTAGGACTCAAGATTCAGGATTTAATTTCTTCAATTAAAAAATTTTATTAATTTATTGATGATTTAGATCAAGTGTTAGAACAAAGGATTCAGTAATTAGATTATTTATATAAAAATGGTATTTAATTTGAATCGGGTCAGAAATTAATTTATTTACTATTAGAAATGAAGGCAGTAAACAGACAATGTGCGGAGTAAACTTAAGTTGTTTACAGTTTTTCAATACTGAAAAGTTAAATTGCTTGGGAATATTTAAGAGAGTCTTTTCTATTTCTCATCAAATGATTTTAGTCGCACCTCAAATAACTCCATTTTCTATTGGGGATGGACCAGCAAATTGGGGAGATCAAACGTCAGTGATTTGCAGTGTTATAAAAGGTGATCGTCCAATAGAAATCACTTGGAGTTTAAACGGGAAAGAGATAACTCTTGAAAGTCATCCCGATATTTCAATATCAAGAACAGGACCGATGATTTCACTTCTCAGCATTGATTCCGTAACTGCACGTCACGCAGGAGAATATTCATGCATGGCCAGTAATTTGGTTGGTTTCGTTAGTCGATCAGCTGAATTGACGGTTAATGGTACACATATAGATTAATTTTTATCCAAGAGTTAAATTCCACATCCTCTCTAAATCATTTACGTAAATTCCCATATCTCCTCATGGCGGAATTAATTAATTTTTTATCGACTTAGCTACGGGATTAAAATTTAGAACCGCTCTACATTCGTTGGCTCCAGAACGGATATCAAGTGATAGTTTAGTAATAATCTAAAATAATATTAATCTTTGCTTACAATATTTTTGTATAACTTACAGCAATTTTTTTTTTATCTATAGACGAAATTATTACCGTAAATATTTTCAATTACTTGTACTTTACTAATTGTTAGTTGCACCACAAATTTCACCATTTACATTTGGAGAAGACCCGGTTAATGCAGGTGAGATAGCATCTGTTCAGTGTGCAGTTTTAAAAGGAGATTTACCTTTAGAGGTATCCTGGATGTTTAATGGTCATCAGATACAATCTGATCAACGTGATATAATTATAATTGATAACGGAAAACGTCATAAACAATTAACAATTGATGCTGTTGCTGCAAGACATGCTGGAGAATACACATGTATTGCATCAAACATTGCAGGATCAATCTCGCGAACGGCTATACTTGATATTAATGGTATAATTGACAATTAATTTAATTAATATTTCCTTGAACCTCATTCCTTCACTGAGATGAGACTTCAAAATATTTAAAAATTCAAAATTTAATTAAATCTTTTTTTGATAGCTTTGGACCGTAAATTGTTGCTATTGATGAGGTTTAGAAAGAGTGCAAAGATTTGAATTTGTCTTATATTCGGTAATGAATTTAAATAACTTAGGAATCGAATAATTGCCTTTTTGTTCTATTTGTGAGTTGTGAATATTTTTATTGTATTTTCTTACTCATTCGAATAGTTTATTTATTATTTTACAATTAGACAAAGTTTGCACAATTTACAGGATAAAAATGTACTGTATTGAAAACCCAAATCTTTAGAAAAATCATCAATATGGTTATTTAGAAATTTTCTAATAATGTGATAATCATAAAGTCTTTTTACTGATATTCTCTATTTATTTTATATGAGAAGATGTTTAAACTAAAATCTGAGTTAGAAAAACGTTTAAAATTATTTTCTTTTTTATATAGTTGCACCTCAAATTTCACCGTTTAGTTTTGGAGAAGAGCCAGTTAATGCAGGTGAGATAGCATCGGTTCAATGTGCTGTTTTAAAAGGAGACTTACCTTTAGAAATAACTTGGATGTTTGATAGTCATCCCATACAATCTGGACAAAGTGATATTATTATTGATAATGAAAAGCGCCGTAACCAGTTGACTATTGAAGCTGTTTCTGCAAGACATGCGGGAGAATATACCTGCGTTGTGTCTAATATTGCAGGATCGGTTTCGCGAACGGCTACTCTTGATATTAATGGTACTTTATAGACAACGTTATTATAACGTTAAGATATTATTTAATTCTTTCCTTAAACATCAATCCCAAAGTTGAGATAAAACTCCAGTGAACGTCGCGCAACGTTACTATATAGGTTACTACAAATAAATGGATTTATTAACGAAAATTATAATAAAGAAATAGAATACACAAAAAGTGTGTAACGCGATTATTAAATAAAGACTTTCTTGAAAAAGTGGCTTCTCGAATAGAAGATCCAGTATCAACTGGCTAATTGGGCCTTTAGGCGAAACACACGCGCTATTCATTTACGCGGAAAAACTGATCAAATTAAATTAACAGAAGTCAATAATATAATTAACTTATGTTGTCATAACAAACTAAGATGTTTTCTTACCTTAGACCGATCACTGATGTTAGAACCGCTTAACTGCTGACGATAACATTTGAGCATATCATCTTTTCTTCATTACTTTTTAGTAAATCTTCTAAAAAAAATTACTAAATTCATCTACCAAAAGTGCTATCTTTAAAAATGTTATCTGTTTAGGCTGCTTCTGAAAAAACATGCTGAAGTAATTGTGGTTAATTTATCGTGTCTTTCAAATGTCATCTTTTCCAATTCCAATTTTTCGTTTTCCTTGGTTTTTGAAATTGACTTATGTATTTGTATTCAGAAAATATTTTTTAGTATTTCTCTTCAGAAGTGCAAATTAAAAATTCAAGCGGTTTTGGAAAATGCAAGTACACCTAGTTAGAAGACATTTATGAACCCGAAAAGAAAATTATTTATTAGTACTAAAAATGTATTTCAAATCTAACAATGAAAGGCTTTTATTATTTTTTTTAATATTTAACGATTAGAAATCGTTGATACTATGCGTAAATTATATTTTCTTTAGTTGCACCTCAAATTTCACCATTCACTTTTGGTGAAGAACCGGTTAATGCAGGAGAAATGGCATCAGCTCAATGTGCCGTAAAAGGGGATTTACCATTAGAAGTATCGTGGATGTTTGATGGTCATCCGATAAATTCTGATCAAACTGATATAAATATAGTTGATAATGGAAAACGTCATAAACTATTATCTATTGAGGCTGTTTCTGCAAGACATGCTGGAGAATACACATGTATTGCGTCAAATCTTGCAGGATCAGTCTCTAGAACGGCTACACTAGACATTAATGGTATTTTTAACTTACTATTTCAATACTTTTTCCTTGAACCTCAATCCTTAATTGAGATATGACTTCAATAATGCGGTTTTGATTTTTGCTAATGTATTATCATGGAAATTCAAGAATGGACTTTTTATTTTTGGAATATAAGTTCGGTATTTATAAAATTTCTAAATGATGGTTTCTTTTAAATCTGAATTACATTTTCCTTAAATAATTTTTTATTAATCGCTTTTTCATAGTTGCACCTCAAATATCAGCATTTACTTTTGGAGAAGAACCGATTAATGCCGGTGAGATAGTATCTGTTCAATGTGCCATTCAATCTAAAAATAAAAATATTACTTTTTTTGTTATTATTATTACGTTATTAGTCTATTTTAAATATTTATTATGAAATTCTAGAAGTTCTTGTTGCCCAAAAGAAACCCCCTAGGTTGGTCCATGATATTTCAATTCTGAATGACTTATTATTTGTAAAAAAAAATAAGATTCTAATGTTAAACCCTAGAACACCTAACATAACTGGATCATTCTCAAATACCTAAGTATATAATTTTTTCTTATATGGATCTAAAGCACACGCCCCTTTAAATACCTGAACCTAATTAATAAGATGCAATAATAAAAAGCACTTAGTAAAGTCATGGGGATTTAATTACAAAATTATTATTAACCCAAGTATTAGACGTTGTAGGGTTTAATAGTAAAAATATCTTATTAATACATATTTCTAATATTTTTATCATTGCACACATGTTACATCTAGAAGAATATATATTACATTTATAAGAACATTAAACTTTTTCTTAGTTGCACCTCAAATTGCAACTTTTAGTTTTGGAGAAGAGCCGGCTAATGCAGGTGAGATGGCATCAGTTACATGTGCCGTTATAAAGGGAGATTTACCTTTAGAAGTATCTTGGATGTTTAATGATCATCCTATAGAATCTAATCAAAATGATATTATAATTGATAATGGAAAACGTCGTAAACAATTGACTATTGAATCTGTTGCTGCAAGACATGCAGGAGAATATACCTGCGTTGCGTCAAATATAGCAGGATCAGTTTCCCGAACTGCTATTCTTGATATTAACGGTACATTAGAGATAACTTCATCTTAACGTTAATATATGTATATATTATGTAATTCTTTCCTTAAACCTTAATCCTGAGTGGAGATACGACTTCATTAGTTTAAATTAAAATTCATTAGATATTAAATTGTTTTTACAAAATCTAGAAATGCCGGATCATCGGATGAGGCATTCTTTTTGACTAATACCTTAGCACACACTGTTTTCATAACAACATTTAGGAGTATATCCTTAACAAAATTTACCTTGGCTTGGTTATCAAAAACCAATACCAATACCATTACAACCAACCATCAAGTTGTAGTTATCATAATCATATTAAAATGTGGCCTTTTTCTTAGTTGTACCTCAAATTGCACCGTTTACTTTTGGTGAGGAACCGGTTAATGCAGGTGAAATGGTATCGGTACAATGTGCCGTTGTCAAAGGTGATTTACCATTAGAAGTATCTTGGATGTTTGATGGCCGCCTTATTATATCTGATCAGACTGATATTATAATTGTTAATGGAAATCGTCATAAACAGTTGACAATTGAGTCTGTTTCTGCAAGACATGCGGGTGAATACACCTGTGTTGCATCAAACTTTGCAGGAGCAGTCTCACGATCGGCTATACTTGATATTAATGGTATTTTACAGATAATTTTACTACATATTTTTTCAATTCTTTCCTTGAACCACAATCCTTAGTTGAGATATGACTTCAATTAGCTTAATATAAATTTTTTTTTAATTTTTCGGATCGTTATTCTAACTTATGTGTTTGATATTAAACATTAGTTGAAATAATTACAATAATTATAAAAGTACGTACGCGTGAAAAGATAGTACTTTAATGCAGACTTTCAAATATAATTATTGTGTCATAGTGATAGGAAATTAGCGATGAGAAAATTTTTTTTTAGTATCTTATAGATTAGCTGATTAGGATCTTACATACTTTTTATATTTTATATTATATACTTTCATAGAAAGGTGGAGAAATTAACAGAAAATTACCAAAAAGTGACACAGTTAAAACCGCGCAAACAAATGCTGGCATCACTTAAGTATTTGATCACCAAATTGTTTGCTATTTTATAACAGATTAAACATAATGTTTTTAATGAAATGAAAAATGGAGATTAGAAATTTTTATTGGTGTATTGGTCTTTTCCCGATAGTTGCACCTCAAATTTCACCATTTACTTTTGGAGACGAGCCGGTTAATGCGGGTGAGATGGCATCAGTTACATGTGCTGTTGTAAAAGGAGATTTGCCTTTAGAAGTATCTTGGATGTTTAATGACCATCTCATAGAATCTTATCAAAGTGATATAATTATGATAG